TGTGTCCTGGTTCTCACCCACACCCCCACTTGGGCTACATCTCTCTTTCACATGATCCACCCAATAAGGAGAGGACTGGACTGGCTTGGTCAGAGGGTGGGGAGCAGGGGAAGGGGGAAGGTATCAGGAGCAAGAGAGAAAAACATAACGCCTCTGAATGGAGTGAATAGAACATAGTATGTGTGCCTTTCTCCCCAACAATAATTCAAGGGTGTCTCACCCCACATCGTGTCCCAACTTGTCTGCTCCTAACTAAAAAGCATAGGGTGTTACTATGAATGGAAGTCGAAGCAGAGTTTGCACAGAGAAGAACCATAACCCGGACTGAGAGGGACCTCTTTTCCCTGTTCCTCGTACAGAAACCTTGCCCCTCTCCTACACCCCCAAATGAGATTTCTGTTGTTGTTGTTGTTGTTTTGTTGTTAGAGGCTTGGAGATCATCATTTTTCTGTCAACATGGTGAATTTAAACTGATTCTCAAAAGTGACATTTTCTCTCTTTCTCTCTGCCACCAACTGAGCTTGGGGAAAATGAGACAGCCACCAAGTCATCCATTTCTGTGCTTCTAAACCAAGGCAGTCAGGGAATTCTCCTTTTGGGGAAAAACAAAATTCCCAAATTGCTTTAGAAAAAAAGTGCAATTGTGCTAGTGACATGTGGAAAGTTTTTGTTTTGTTTTGTTTTGTTTTTAACATAAATTCCCTTGCTGTGGTTTAAATCCATTTCCTCTTGTCCAGACTTCTGTGGCTGCTGAGACATTAGCCCTCAAAGGATGAATTCACTTCCCCCCTCACTTCAGCTTTCTAGGGCTACAACATTTAGAGTGGGAGAAAGGGTTTCCCCATCTCACTCTAACTCATAAAAAGGGGTCAACCCCCAGGACAACAAAAGTAACTTGAAAATGGAGGTGCCCAAAGAGTGGCAGGAAGTACTATGGGGGAAGGGGAGCAGGGAGAGGTACTGTCTGGAGGGTCAGTTTCTGTGGGAGTAAGAGGGGAAGATCTCCTTTTCACCCTGTCTAGTAAAGCCCAGAGGGCTTCTGGCAGCCATTATACCAGAAAAGGAATAGGCTCCCCTTCTCATTCTTATCTTCCCCCTTCCCCTCCTCTTCATTTGAGGCCTCTGGCCATATAAGGTACTGAAGCTTCTGCTTGCTATTTGAACCCCCTCTCCACTCCACCCACACACACTTAAATACACACACACCTTGTACACTCATAGGAACTGAGACCCATACACAGATACACAGTTACACCCACATTCCCATCCACACAGAAATCAGTGGTCAAGACCCACACTGGGAGACACATGGACATACATTCACATACACATGAAGCTCCATACCCACAGACTCATGGAAAGACATTCACAGACAGGCATATGTATATTCACACACACACACACACACACACACACACACACACACACAC